CTGTCTCTACCCTGGCCTCTCAGCTCACTTCCGCTGTCCCTCTGTCCGATTACTGTCTCACGGCCCTGTGCCCCAGTGCCCCCTCCCTCAGAAAAGATGCTGCACCCCCGGCCACCGCCTCTGCAGCCCGCGAACCCACCACCGTGGCTCGGCCTGACCTGCTTCCCCTGAGCACCCGGGTCTTCCCTCAATCCCTGCTGCCTTGCATGGCACCAGGCAGGAAGAATATTAGGTGCTCTGCAACTTTTTCTTTTTTCCTTTTTTTGCCAAATAAATGAGTGCCTGAACCTAAACATGAACTCTTGGGGTGCCTGGGTGGCTCAGTCAGTTAAGCATCGGCCTTCCCAGAGTCCTGGGGTCGAGTCCCACATTGGGTTCCCTGCTTCTTCTTCTTCCTCTGCCTCTTCCCCACCCCCTGCCCCCCAGCTTGTGCTCTCTCTCTCAAATAAAAAACAGAATGAAATAAAATAAACATGAACTCTCATGACTGCCCTGCCTGGTCTCTTGCTACACAGCAGTCCCCTTTCCCACCCGCAGGGCCTGGGCCCTCAGTACCTGGGGCCGAAGTGCCAGTGGTTACTCCCACAGGAAGCGCACGTACCAGATGGTCTCGTTCTTCAGCTGCGGCCCGAAAAGGGGGTTCAGCTGAGCCAGGATCGTGATGAGCCAGCTGCCAGGGACAGCACAGTGAGGGTGAGCCAGGACACATGAGGAACCCCACCCTCCACACCCCCGCACACTGCCTCTGATCACACGGCCAACCCAGCAGACGGAGGGCCTGTGTGTGGGAGCAAAAGGCCCTGGGAAGCCACCCACACCCTAGCCAGCACGCGAGCGTGGCCTTGGGGCTTGTGGGTTTGGGCTTATGTTTCGTTTGATGTTTTGTTGACGGATAAGACCCGAGTTGGGGCTGGGCTCTGGGATGAGAGAAGACAGCCTCCAGAGGTTATGCTGAAAGCGACTCCTGGCGGTGCCCTAGTACGTCTCTGGTCTAGGCCTCCCCCAGCCTGCACCTGGGAGCAGACAGGACAGATCCGACGGGAAGCACGTCAGAATCACCTACGTTTAGGAGCAAGATGAAGGAACCACCTCCTGTGGAAGGCTGACGACCAGAGAGCCCCACTCTGAGGCCTGCTGGGGCCAGGACAGGAGCTGGTCAGGCCCGTGAGCTTTCCAGGGACTGTCGGCGGGCTGCACATCTGGGGGTGGGGGGTCGGGCCCCCCTGGCATGACTGTGGGTGCCCACGGGAGCAGGCCCCCGAAGACTCTAGAGGGGCACGGCTTCACATGCCTGACAGGTCCCAGAGGGGCTCTACCCGGTGTCCTATCAGGAAGGCTCTAGCTGTTTCCCCTGAGTGCCCCCAAGCAGGCTGTCAGAAACCACAGCCTGCTTACCATCCGCATGGTCCCCGAGCTGATATTTTGTAAACATAATTTCTAGGCCTAGCATTCTCTTAAGCTGCCCCGCCTTGCCGCCTGCGTGCACCTGCTCTGCAGCCAGCCTCCCTTTCCCAGATGTCCAGACGGTGTCTGCAATTACGCACAGCCTGAGCATATGCCTGTTCCCAGCCACCACCCGCTCTGTCCCAGTCTCTGAGCCAGCAAACCCCGGCCCCTCCACGGCCCTCCCTGGGACCGATGAGGACATTCTACCAAGCCCTGAAGGACCAAGAAACAGCCTAACAGGCCTTAGAGACGCTCTGTGTGGGGAGAATTCTGAAAAACCATACACACTCATATATGTAAGCGGACATCTAAGAGTCATCATTATTTTTAACAAGTTTTATTTTTTTGTTGTTAATAGGAGGTAGAAAATCTTTAACATTAGATAAAGTGAAAGGAGAGAACCGGCTAACAGGAATAAATAGTTGGTGATCCAATTAGATAAAACAGGTTTTAACTACAAAACATACCCCAAATCTGAAAGCAATCACGTAAAAAATTCTTTAAGTGCGGGCCTTATGCTATGTATTTTGAAAAATTTGACAGTCTTGAGAAATATTCCAGTCACTGTTATTTCTCAATTTATTATTCCAGTTACTTTTAAAACAACCCATTACCTTTTAAAGAATCAGTAGCTCATCACCGTTACCTGTCCTATTTTTTTTTTTAAATTTTCCTGGATTATCAGTCTTCTCTTTTGTTTTTTTTAAAGATTTTATTTATTTATTTGTCAGAGAGAAAGAGAGAGAGGGAACACAAGCAGGGGGAGCGGGAGAGGGAGAAGCCGGCTTCCCGCCGAGCAGGGAGCCCGACGCGGGGCTCGATCCCGGGACTCCGGGATCACGGCCTGAGCCGAAGGCAGACGCCCAACGACTGAGCCACCCAGGCGCCCCTCACCTGTCCTATTTTGACTGTTCTGAATTCAGTACACCCCAACTGTGCCAAGCCTACCTCATAAAAAGAGTGTATGGGACCCAGGATGATGGGAAGCCATACAGGCTTCCCGAGGCTTGACTGATCACCAGAGAGCCTTCCCTAAGAACCAGAACTTGGGACTTATTCCCTGGTTTGGCAGGTAGGATGATTTAAACGTGGAGCAAGGTGACATAAAAGGACTCGGGGTGGAAGGAGGGGTGTCTTTTTCCCTAACGGGGGAGGTGCTATGGTGAATGGCCGTCTTAGGAAGAGAACATCTGGGCATTCGAGACCTGGAGGCTGACTCCCTCACCCGGCCCAGGTCCTTGGATCCCTTGGAACTCCTCTTCGCTATCCCCAGGGCCCCCTTCCCAAGTCTGAAGACTCCCGCCCATCTGGTGGTTCAAAACCGGCTGCATCACAGATGCCCGGGGCATGTATTAAAAAGATGAACTCCTAAGTGCAGACTTGAAAACTGTGATTGAGTGGGCCTAGGGCGTGGCCCTGAGAGCTGTGTTTTGCAGTCTCTCCAGGAGGGCCTGACGCCCAGACGGAGCTGGCTCACTGCATTCACTTCACTGCAGCCTATGGACGGGACAAAGCCTGTTCAGGTGGCACATTTGGAAGCAGACCCCAAAGTCCAGGATTTCCAGCCCACGGCTTTCTCTGCCGTCTGAAACTGCAGACGAGGCTGCAAACTCTCCTAGGCTTTAGAGACTCAGCCTTTCAAAAGTGGAATCTGTCACCACCAGGACAGAGGGGAGAGCAGGGCTGGGGAGAGGAGGGAAGATTGTGAGCCGGGGAGCAGTACTTACAAGAGGTAACAGCAGACTGCGGTGGCTACCAGCATGGTGATGATCACTCTGCAATGGAAGAGGCTGTCAGATCAGGATGGGTGGGACCAGCACCCTCGGAAGGCCTGGCCAGGGCCAGAGCTAAAGAGCTCCCGGTGTCGGCCCCTTTCCTGCTGGCCTTCCTGATGCCACCTGAACACAGGAGGCTGAGTTCTATTCAGGGTGAGAATTGTAAGATGGGAGATAAAAACTCTAAGGGTCACCTTAGGGGGAAGCCCACCTTGTCCACATCCAAGTCGTGTTACGAACTCCCTTCATCTCCCTTGTCCACACCCACTCTTTCCCCATCTTAATGCGGCACCACCACCAGCCCCAGCAGCATCTGCAGCAACCCACCATGGAGTGGTCTCTGGAGTGCAAACTTCACTGGGCAAACGGATGGAAAACAGAAGCTGGCAAGAGGCAAGGAGACCGTGAGCCACTTCTGAGGTGCGTGAGTCGTTGTAAAGGGAGCAAGGACTAGCTACCTGTGTCCACACGAAGTGGACTGGAGACAGAAGCTTAAAATGCAGCAGGAGAGACTTCAGTTAGACAGAACTCACCAGGGTTTGCAGAAGAGGTGAGACACTAAAATGGTTCACAAAGTAATGCCGTGGGACCCCCGCCCTGCAGATCTTGAAGAGCAGAGACCGCACCCATCCATCCAAGCAGCCTCCAGCCAAAGCTAAACCTAATCCAAACCAGGCCCCAGGGCCCCTGGCCTAAAGCACCTGAAAGTCAGTGCCAGAAAAATTACACTTGATCCATTCTTTGAACATTGCTAAGCTTCCTGGGCCAGTCCCGTGCTGGGCACTGGGGTCTACAGTGGTGAAGGAGACAATCTTCCACCTAGAGGAACTTGCAATCAAGAGGAGAGAGCACTTCGTAACTGAGGATAATAAGATGCAGACACTGCTAAATGGTGCAACAGATACAGAAATCTGCTAGGGGCCCTTCAAAAAACAGTAACACCGGCTAAAAATTATTCAATACAGAATACGTGCCATGCGCTATAAGAGTCTTACAAGCATAAACCTCGGGTAGCCCTCACGGCAGCCTTAAAAGGCAGGTATCAGCCTCATCCACATTTTACCTATGAAGAAAGTGAGGCCTGAAGGGGTAGCATTCGCTCAAGGTCACTGCTGGTGAGGGGGGGGACAAACCGCATCAGGCGCGGCTCACGGCCTCTAGCTTCGCTGGCTGGAGGGGGAAAAGGGGAAGGCCCCTTAACTGCCTCCGGTGTCAGTCGGCTCTCCCACCTTTCCAAAGCACCACCGGCTCTGCCCTTTGGCCCCGACCGCCTGCCTGTTGGCGAGCCGAACGCGGCGGGTGCAGACAGGCAGGAGTGCGGCGCCGGGCGCGCCTCGGCCCAGGGCTCACTGCACTGCTCGCCGCCGCCCGGGGAGGGGTCCGCAGGGCGGCCAGGCCCGCGCGCCATCCTTACCCGCGGTTGGGTCCTTTCGGCACGAACCAGGGCCCGGCGATGCCGATGAGGCCCCAGAACGTGGTGAAGATAATGACCGGGAGGGCGAACGAATGAGCCGTCATGGCCGAGAGCGGGGTGCCCAGGCTGGGGCGCAGGGCCGAACAGCAGACGCCCGGGCGCGCGGGGTCCCGGCCGGGCAGTGGGCGCCGAGCATGCGCAGCAGGACCGGGAGGCCCCCGGGAGCGCGCACAGTCGCCCCTGCGCAGGCGCGAGCGCGTCACTCCGGCGGGGGCGGGCTTGCCGAGCCGCCCGGTTTAGTTAGCTCCGATCAGCTTTTGATAAGCTTTGACCCGCGGGACTTAACAGGACCGAGGCATGTGCCGAAATAAACTCTGCTTTATTCAGGTAGCAAAAGGTTGAGAATCAAACATGGTTTTTTAAACCTCATTTGCACCTCTTTGAAACCAGAAGAGGAGAGGACATCCCCTTGCCAATCACCCTGAGTAACCTTGGCTGACAGACACCTGCACGCGGCAATTGGCCAATCTTCACACCGTCTTGCCAAATACTTAGCACCCTAGGAACTCCACGTGGCCTTGGGAGAGAAGCAAAGGTCTAGAGTAGGTTATACTGTCGAAGATGTCTGGCGAGGACAGGGGGGTGAGGTCGCTCCCTCCCGCCTGGTCTCTATGGCTACTGGAATCAAACCATCGGTTATAATGCCGGTTAAAACTCAGAACGTCAGACCCTGTGGGCAGCAGTTATGGGGTGTGGGTAGAGATGGGCGGAGTGCCAGGATCAGAACGTGGAGATGCTACGAAGATTACAGGAAGGAAAGGGGAGCGGAGGCGTAGCTAGGACTCTGGCCAAAGGCTTGCTCCTTCTATTCCCCGTGCCCTTCAGCTTTCTTCCTTGTGAGGCAAAAATAGGACGGCTCTCCAACACGGGTATCTCCAGGCCCTGGATTTGAAGCGCAGCGAGTGTCTTGAAACAAAACAAAGAGCTCGGGTTGGGTAACAGTCTCCGGTAAGGGTGCTCACCACGTGTCAGCCCTGGGTCCTGCACAGAAAGGTGGGTAGTTGTCTTTGCCATTAGCTAGCATGCCTGCGCCCCCATGAGAAATGTGGATAGTGCAAACCTCTACGATAAACAGCATTTTCGGTCACCCCCTCCAAGGGGCCCAACCTTCCCAAAAGCTGGCAATGGAGGCTTCCTCAGTACATGGATGTGGCGGCCGGGTGCTTCCCTACCTGGCCTCCACCTCCATGCCGAGAGCAACACAGGGAATTGTGTGTGTGGAACTCACACACAACACTGCTTAAGGGACTGGCCTCATGCTCTGAGGATTCTTAAAGAATGGGAGGGGCCATGGGGAGGAGGCTTGCCAGAAAGTCACCTCAATTTGGAATCTAGGAATAGGGTGGGGCTGACAGCCCCCACTTCGAAGGGTCTTACTCTCTTCCATCCCACCAATTCACACCCACAACACCTAGCTTCAGGCAGACTCCTGAACTCCCACAGAATCTTCTATGAATGGGGGAGGGAGGCCCGGGCTCCCATCTCCACGGTATGGCCAGAGCTGTAGCTGCAAGGGCCCACGGTATACCTCAGACCCTAGACCATGGGGCTGGGAGAGAGACATTTCCACAGGCTAAATACAAGGCAGAGAGTGAGAGCGAATTCCTGGCCCACAGCTAAAGAAAACAGGAAGGCGATGGCGTTAAGGCTAAGTGCTAAGGGTGGGTGGTGGGAAGGGAGAGTCAGAAACCTCAGGAACCAGGGGGACAGTGGATCCCAGCACCACCCTAGGACTGGGAGGAGAACAGACTGCTGGTTAAGGGCCAGACAACTTGTACTTACAGCACAGGGCAGGGACCCCAGATGCGAGGCCGGGACGCACCATTTCCTGCCTGTCTAAAACTCGAAAGGCAGGGGGGCAAACAATCCGTGGTTAGGAAGGCAGGACCTAGGCCCCACATCATCCCCACCAGATAAGCAGCCTAGGAACCTGCCAAAATGAAACTGCCCTGGAGGGGAAAGTGCTTTACTTCCGGAAGGCCGGAGAGATGGGGTGGGGGTCCTAAAGTTTGAGTGGGCCCACAAGGCTCCTGGAGGATCCTGCGGACAATGGCCCATCCTTAAGCCCTGGTCCCGCGGATCTGATCGGCACGTATGGGGGGAGCATATTTAACAAGCACCCCTAGTGATTCCCAGGCTGGGTCCCAGAGCAAAATCGAGAAGAGCGGCACTTTGGGAGCACCTCTTCCCATAGTAAGGACGTTGGTAGCAAGAGACAAGGACAAGGGCTGAAGGCAGCTGAGCCCACTCTGTGCCGCCCGAGGTCTGTCTTTCAGGGAGCTGGGGACGCTGTCCGTCCTGGGGCAGACCAGGAGCCAGCAGGCACTTGAATTCTCTGCTGCCACGTCATGGGGCGGGAAATCGAGGCCCCGAGAAGAGGAAGGGATTAATGATGGTTGAACCTCTGCCTGCAGCAGAGCTGGGGCCGGATCACAAGCCTCCCCGGGGCCAGCTCGGACGTGTCCGCTCCTCAGGAAGCCAGGCTCACGTCCAACACTGGTGCAGGTCACACAGAAGGGCTGCCACCGGTGAGAGGCAGCAGGCTCCCTCCCGTAAAGCCTTTCCTCCATGGTCCTGGGGCTGTAGGAGGAGGACCTCTTGAGTGCTTTGTGCAGAGGGTTTTGCTTGCCTCATCCTAAGGGAGGCCCTGGGAGGAGGTAGAGAAATTCTCTGCTGTGAGTCTCCCGTTTGGAGGGGAGGCTTCCCTGCATCTGCCATGGAGCCAGGACGACCGATCCCAGAGCCAGGCCAGTTGTCCCCAGAGCCTGGTCACCCTCCGCCCCTCCCCAGGTGCCTCCTCTATGCCACTGCAGCTCCCCAACCATCCGCGGGGGCTGGGATGCCCCCTTAAGCCCCTCCCCCCAACAGTCTCTCCCACTTCAGAGAAGTCCTCTTGCTCCCAGAACATGGGGTGAAATCTTTCCTGATAGGATCATTTCCTGAAGCACCTTAAAGATGAATTTGACATCGGAACCTTTCGGCCCATTTCAGTGCTGTGAGGTCACCGCTACTTAGAGAGGGGCCTTGGTGAACAGGCTTGTGCTCCTGATTACCCTGCCTCTCCGGGAGGTGGGCTTAACTATCTTGTCACTGCCCCCTTCTGGTGTTTAGAGTCCCCCCAAACGAAGATTCTAGGGTAGCCTAGGTTCTGCAGAGAGCCTGTCACCATGATTCCAAGGGGCAGGGCAGCAGCGGGTCTCCAAGGTGATCCCTAGGAATCCTGCTCCTACGGGAGCTCTCTGTCAGGACAGCTCAGGGGCCTCTTGGCTGGCATGGGGGTACAGGAGTCTGTCGGGAGGGTCCATGATGCAGTCCTTCAGGACCTCCACTGGCTCCCTGTAGGATGGAATGGGTGGCTTTCGGGTCACAGCCTCCTCCATACAGAGCGCCCCCATCTTCTCCTTCCTGAGCCCTGCTCCTTGTGTGAGAGGAAAGAGAACCCACAATTACACCGAGGGGAAAACAGATTGGATGACGATCCCCTTCCCAAGCCCAACTGCACCCCAAGGTATGCTCGGTGAGGAAGGCATGCAGAACAGGCTGGAGACGGGACAGGGGCTGCTCTGGGCAGGCCAGATCTAGTATTGCTCTGGTCATCTCTCGCCCTCGGGCGCAGGTTTCACCTGGGCACCTTCTGTGAATGGGGGAGGGAGGCCCGGGCTCCCATCTCCATGGTGTGGCCAGAGCTCTGCCCTCCAGGGGACACATGGCAATGCCTGGAGACACTTTTGATAGCGACAGCTGGGTGAGTCCTATGGGGACCCAGTGAGTACGTAAGGGGTGCCGGTCAGGGATGCTCAAGATCCTACCACATATAGGCCGGCCCTCAAAGTGAGGAATGATCCGACCTTCAGTGTCAACGGTGCTGAGGTTGAGAACCCTGCCCGGGAAAGAGGACCTTATCGTATCAAATTGGGTGGTGTCCTCTATTTGCTTCAGATGTACCCGCCCCACTGTCCCAATGAGAACATACCTGAGAGTGTCTTTCTCCTTCACCCCCACAGGGCTGGATGTGGGGAGCAGCTCACGCAGCAAATGCGTGGGTGAAGGATGCACTGCCTGGGTCCCCCCCCTCGGCCCTCCCTGTCTCTTCTCTCCACTTCGACCCCAGGCCCCTCCCCTTGCCCAGCAACAGGATAGGGGCCACTCTACTTCCTATGGAGCCTCTGTCAATCCTGAGACCCAGTCCACTGCTGACCACAGACCAGGCGGTAACCCACGAGAGCACAAGTGCTGGAAGGAGACCAGCAATAAGAAGGTGTCAAGGAAGAAGCTTCACTGCTGTCACTGGGAAGTAAAACAAGACCAGCCTGGAGAACTTCTTTGGTTTTCAGTGACTACTTGAAAAGAGGAAAATGTCTTGCCTAAGACTCGGTAACGCACCTGCCATGTAACATAACTTCCCCTCCAGCCCGGTCCCCACTCCAGCCCTCCAGCCTAGTGCTCCGAGGGGACTGTGAGGCTGTGCTTCTCACAGACGCCTCCCCACCCGGCATGCCCCAACCCTCTCCTCCACCTAGCACCTTCTTCACGGCTACTCTGACCTGCACTGACTTCTTCCCTCCCGAAAGAGTCTACCCAGCCCCTCAGAGAATGTGCCGTCACTGCCCTAGCTTGTCCGGTGCTCTGGTTACTTCCAGTAGTGGGCTGGACCTTTCCAGAATGCCACTGGCATCACGTGCCAGATGCTGTGCCCTCTTCTGAAGAAAAACCAAAGCACAATGAGGTGAACTGGCCCGAGGTCAGCAGAGCCAGAATTTGAGCCTGGGGCAGACTGGCTCTGAAAATCCGTGCTCTAGCACTATGCCCCGCTGCCTGCAGTGTGTGTGTGTCCCGCCTGCCTCACTGGATCAGAAGCTCTTTGAGGGTACGTGTCACATCTCGAGGACCCACTGGGGATACCTGAGACCAAGCCTCTGGTGATGGCTGCCATTGCCAGGCTCTCCCAGACTTCAAGGCCAGCATGGGATCGGGAAGGTAAGACTGCCCGGGGACTCCGTCACGTGTACTTACGTGCCTGGGCACGGGGCGGCCCTTGGGCACACGCGTAGACGTGGCTGAACCGCCGGCCCGAGGAGGTCAGGTACCAGTGCTGGATGGCAGGCTGGGGGTCGTACTCCGTGACTGCCACCCCGTTCACCGCTGTCATCATGAGCATGTTGATCACCTCGTTGGAGAGTTTGGTCCTCTCATCAGTCCTGATCCGGTTCATGGCACTGAAGCCCCGCTCACAGCAGGAGGCGGAGACGGGCACGCACACCACTACCGCCACGAGCCTGCTCAGCAGCGGGAAGCGGTAGTGCTGGGCCAGGGTGTTCTTACACAGCATGGAGAACGGGAGGTTCCTGCCCATGGCTTTCAGGCCCAGCCACTCCTCCAGGAGCGCCTCCTCGCTGTATCCTGCAGGGAGGGAGAGCTCAAAGTATCTGGCCAGGGCAAGAATATCCTCATTCCCAAAACTGGCCAGTTCCATCCCACTTGGCCAGGCCGTGGTGTCAAACACCTCCATGTTCTTGAGCTGTGGGGGCCGGGCCATGTCAAACCTCTGCTGGAGGTACTCGATCCCAGTCAGGATCATCCTTTCCCGGTCCACCTGGAAGCGCTGTTCCGCCATCTCCATTCTGTCCAGGAAGATGCCGTGGAGCCGCCCATCCCGGAAGCCGGCATTGAACTCTTCCTCTTTGGGCCCCGCCTGGTGACGGAGGGTCTCCAGGGCTACGTAGGCCCGTCCCAGCGTGGAGTTCACCTCTGTAATCAGCACGATCTCCTTCTGGCACACCTCGGACAGAGGCCTGTAGATGCTCAGGAAGTCCAAAAGGAAGTGGCAGAACTTGACGAAATGGAAGCTCTTCATCAGCTTCAGCATGCCTTTGGCCCTGTGCCCAGTCTGGCCCCCAGCCTCCGCCACGCCCTGGAGGTGCCGGGCCAGGGCAGGCCAGCTCACGATGAGCGCATTCAGTGTGCGCCTCTTGCTGGCCACCCACCTGATGGCATTCAGGTCCTTGAGGCGGATGATCTCCTGCTCCAGGGGAGCTGCGCCTTCCTGCAGCTCATTCAGCCTTTTGTTTGAGGACTGATAGAACTTGAAGACCGTTCGAATGTGCCGGTCACACTTCTTCACCAGATCGATGCCCCCACATGCGTCTACCACAGCTAGGTGCAGCCGGTGAGCAACACAGTGGACGGGCAGCAGCTGGGGGATGACCTCTTGGAACTTTTCCACGAGGCCTCCTCTGCAGCTCAGCGTGGTGGAGCCATCGGTTCCCAGGCCCACCACCCAACCGGGCTTCCGGAAGGGGATGTCCAGTTCATCCAGGGCAGAGATGATAGTCTCAAAGTAGCCATCCACCGTCTCACTGTAGAGAGGGGCCAAGGTGATGTAGGACTCTTTCACATCTATCCCCTTAAAGTAGCGGAGGTAAATCCCCACACAGGACTGGTCCGAGGCGTCTGTGGAGCTGTCCAGCAACACGCTCACGCAAGGGGAGTTCCGGACATCCTCGAGGATCTCCTTCTTCAGGGTCTCAGAGATGTACTTGATGAACTGAGTGCATGCGGTGCGATTTCGGTACTTGCCCAAAATCATGGTCCCGGTGCTTTGGAGGAGTTGCAAGATCTTCTCAAAGTCATTCAGAGGCCTCGAGTGGTACGCAATGGAGTAGGCGGCGTTGAAGAAGTGTTCCATGTTCGCCATCAGGTCGCTGGAGATCTCTGGGACCAGGGCAGCCGGAGGGGCATCTTCCTTGATTTCAACAGTGTTGACACAGAGCTTGTGTGCTTTGCTAACCTCATGGTATTTTAAAGTCTCCACTTTAAAAGGTCCTGTGTAACCTCGGACTAACCGGGACGATTTGTCGTGGAGATTCGGTCTTTCTTTGCAAGCTGAGCAGAAGAGCTTGGTCTCCTTTGGGTCAACTACTAACCATGGGAACTGCCCAAACCATGACCTCTGAATGGAACGGGGTCTGTAAGTCCTCTTGATTTTCCTAGGGCCATCTATTTCGACTTCCCAAAGGCTGGAATTGCAGTAGGAGCTACAGGTCTCCAGAGAAGTTGCTGGAGGCACTGCAGATTCTACAGCCAAGGCTTGTGTGTCTGCCTCTCTTATGGCCACCATCTTCTTCTTCCCTTTGGAGCAAATAAAAATGAGCTCGGTTTTGCTGCCTAGAACTCTGCAGTCTCCCATCAGTTAAGACATCCCAATTTACTGAGTATCCCATATGAAAAGCAGAGTTGACTGTGATCCACCTTTCTAGAGATCATTAGTGACTTCTCTTTAAACCCTTTCCCATTATTATCTGTGCAAGTTAGCTTGCTCCCGAAGAGATGTGTGCTAATCCTTGTGGGCTCTTTAGCCAGCCTCCCGGTCGCTAGCCACACAGCTACCCCGAGATCATTGGACATCAGCCGCTAATAAGCTTATCCAGCCACCTTGGCTATAGATGCTATTGGATAAACAGGTGACTTCAATCCTCTTTCGAGGCAGCACAAAGAAATGAGGTTAAACATCTGCAAGTCTTCCTATGAGCCTTAGAAAGAAGGGGAGGTCGAGCAGTCTACACAGTAGCCTTGAGCCAGTAAGCCCCTGAGATACACAAAACAGCGAGCTCGCCCGGACCAGTGGTGCTGCCGCTGGAAACCGGAAGAGGAGGGAAGAAGGGCGGCTCACAGGCCCTTGGGTCACACAGCTCCTCACAACCAGGGCCTCCCGCACGCACCCCCATCAGCTCCGCCACGGGTCCCGCTAGCACTTCTGCTCATCAAAGGGCCTCCTTTGTCCCATACTGTCCCTGTTTCCCTCTTTGACACTCAGAGGGCAGAGTTCGTTTCTTACTCCTCTTTGTCCAGCAGAGCCTGACACGAGGCCCAGTGCGCAACAGCAGCAGGACAGGGGCGGCCAAACGGACACCAGATGACTTGCCATGGCCACACGGGCCCCGGGATGTGCCCTTCAGAACTCGGTAGGGCAAGACTCACCTGGAGGACGACCTTTCCCCCACTTTGGCCCGTTTGGGTCCTTGATCCAGGGTGCAGCTCGACGTTCCAGTTTTGAGATCAAGTCTGGTTTGGCAGCAGCAGGCCCTATTGCAGGGACGGAGAGTCAAACTGAGGTCACTGCTATGGAATCAAGTCAGGTAGCCTGCCCGAAGCTATCTGTGGAAACTGAAGTGTTCAGTTCAGCCTCTGAGTCTCTGTCTCTCTATAAAGTCTACGCAGCCAGGGCCACGACGAAAACACTCCCATCTTGTGTACCAGTCTATTCCTAAAACCCAAGAGGCAGTCAGGGTCAGGTGCACCCCTTAGCCAGGATAAATCACGCCCTTAGCCCCGTGGGCCAGCCACGGGAGCCAGGGCCAGCTGAGCGCGTCTGGAGGGAGGTGGACGTTGCAGGGGCGGGCACGGGGTGCAGTAGGCGCAGAGGGCAGGGATGATGAAGAGGGCCACGCGAGACGGGGAAGACCGCCGCCGGCCAGCACTCTGCTGTGCCCGTGCTCCCAGAGCCACCACGGCTAGCCGCGGGGCAGGTGCCTTACTGCATGGGTTGTTTTCAGGGGCACCTGAAAGTCCCCTTAAAAATGTCCACCAGCTGCCGTGAAACCTGAAATCCGACTAGAAGAGATTCGTGCCTTTGGGTTAAGCACTGACCTTTATTTAAGATATGAATATTCTCAGGGGTATGAAAAGAAATTGCTTTCTTGATTTAAAATAAAACCCATTAATATCCACTTACATGCCTTGGTATGCGTGTGAATGTGTGCATAAACTTTCTGTGGAGGGACACAGGAACAGCTTCTCGGGCCATAGTCATTACGGTCACCCTGCATCTCTTGGATCACTTGAATACATGTATATATTTATATTTGTTATATGTGTGTGTGTGCATCCGTATATCTACTACTAATAAAAATATAATTAAATACATTGCTAAAGTGTGGTAGACTGAACACACACCCTTCTTAAAACATCTCTAAGATGAGGACAAAGGAGTAACAGTAGCAACATTAATAATACAAAGAAATGTTAATACACTTTTGGAAGAAGGAAAGGAGATAAGAGAGCAGAACAAACAGAGCCGAACAGCAAATGCTGACAAAGGGGGCAGGAAGGAGAAAGCAGTGCGTTTGACTGCAGAATCCCCCAAAGACCCCGGGACTGGAGGCGGCAGAAGGTGGTGGGTAAGGAACAGGTGGGAAGGGTGGGCACCTAGTCTGCAGAGACCACTCCAGCCCGGGGCCTCCCACCCATTCCAGGAAACCCGAGAACGCTGCCACCCTCGCCCACCCTCACCCGAGGAGGAGAATGGAGATTTAGTTCTCGGAAAAACTGAACTGAAAGGTTCCAGACCCGGGGAGAGTGGGGGATACCGGAAGAAGAAGGCAAAGGGCCGCAGTGATGAAGAGTCTGTGTTCTGAAAGGTGCGCTACTCAGCTCCAAGGACACAGGCTGGGCTGCTGGGGTGAGTCTTCTGTGGAGAAACAGAATTGCCCCTCCCCATCCCCTCCTGCCCCAAAGGCCCACGGGACACTGACTTCTGCAGCTCTTCAGTGAGACCGGCAGAGAAAGCTTGACAAGCCCCAGCCACCGTGCAGGGCTGCCTGCCAGGTTTCTCAAGGCTTTACTCTTAAACCTGAATGAACCGCAGGATATTTATTTAAGACAAGCCTCTAACACGAAACCAGTAGGAAAAGGGATTGGAGGAACTACAGAAACTGCAGGGAACAAAGCAGAACTTAAAAAAAACTGTTATTCATGTTCCCAGAGAGAAAAGTCGTGAGAGTCATCTGCAAAAGGAGCAACAGGGGCTTTGAGAGTAAAAATAAGAGAGACGAGGGGTATCTGGGTAGCTCAATCGGTTAGGCTTCTGCCTCTTTGTTTTGGCTCAGGTTGTGATCTCGGGGTCATGGGATCGAGTCCCCTGTGGGGCTCGGCGCTCAGCACAGAGTCTGCTGGAGGTTATTTCCCTCTCCCTTTTCCTCTGCTCCTCCCCCAGCATGCACTCTCTCTGTCAAATAAAGAAATAAAATCTTTTTGAAAAATATGATAGAAATGAAAACATGCAACAGACTTCTTAGAAAATAAACCTGAGAAAATCTCCAAGAAAGTAGAACAAAAAAGACGCAGAAAATTGAAGAAGAAGAAGAAGAAAATAAAATAGAACCAGAGGCTCAATTTAGGAAGTCCAATATATAACTAACAGGACTTTCTTGAAGAAAGAAAATAGAAAATCGATAGGAAGAAATTGTACAAGAACATTGCCCCAAACTGGAAAACGCTGAGTTTTCGCATGGAAGGGAACGGTGTCCAGACACCCAGGATGAGAAGTGAAAAATCACTGATACTATTAAACACTTCAGAACACTGCACTAGATCTTAAAACCTTTCAGAGTAGGAAAAATGGGCTGTGTTCAAAGATTTAGTTTTAAAAAGGCATTTAGACTTCTCCTCAGCACCAGTAATACCTAAAGGCAATGCTTTCAAAATACTGAGGAAAACTCTTTCCAACCTAGAACTCTATGCCCAACCAAGCTTCTGCTTCTAAGGACCGAGTAAGGCATGTTCTCCCACGTGCCCTTTCTTGGGAAGTTCCTGGAAGATGAGCTCCAACGAAATGAAGATATAAACCTGGAAGAAGAGATAGAGCCAGGGAACAGGAGTGGGACAAAGGAAAGTGTGAGACCACTAAGTAACAGCCGAAATAACAGCCAGTTTAGACAGAGCAGGAGGATGGAAGGCCTGATAATGGACGTCCCCAGAAAAAGAGTGAAATTGGTCTGTCATGGGATGCCTGATCACGGGGAAAAGACTCTTCAGAGGTGGGCGCCTGGGTGGCTCAGTCATTAAGCATCTGCCTTCAGCTCAGGTCATGGTCCCGGGGTCCTGGGATCGAGCCCCACATCGGGCTCCCTGCTCAGCGGGAAGCCTGCTTCTCCCTCTCCCACTCCCCCTGCTTGTGTTCCCTCTCTCGCTGGGTCTCTCTCTGTCAGATAAATAAATAAAATCTTTAAAAAGAAAAAAAAGGCTCTTCAGAGGAGTTTTATAATTCCCTGGGAGAGTTAGAGAAGAATCAATGAGAGGACAGAAAACTAGCAAAATAAAAAATAAGAAAATATTTCAATTCCAGGGAGGAAATATCCTACAACAAAGGAAAATCATCATAATATGCCACTTTGATCAGAAATAAGTAATACATAATCATAAGTAGGCAAACAATTTACATTGAATTAATCAAGAAAGTGTGATGTACTTGTTCTGAGAGGGTGGAGGGACGGAGTAGGGGCCCGGGGTGACGGAAGAGGGCTGGATCTTCATCTTCCACGGTAGGAATCAAGAGAGAATATCCATGTAAAATCGACAGATCAGGAATAGCAATAGAAATATGCAACAGGATATTAAAGTGTGAGTCTGCCTGCCTGTTTTGGCGCAAGGTCCAAAAAGATAGGAGCCAACTGTCCCCCACCCCAAAACTAGACCGAGGCCTGACTTGGAAAGGAGGGTGGCCGAAACACGGGGCTGTGACCCTAGCCCTCGGCAAGAAGAAGGAGTCACAGTGCTGGAAGTGAAGAGGTCAGGAAGCTGGATATTAGAGATGTTTCTGCAAAGAGATGTCAAGTGTACTGTGAGGCCCCCCACTACCACTGGGGGGGGGGTGCTGTGGGCGCTTCCCCCTGACCTTAAGCCTAATAGGAATGACATCCTGACCTTTATCCTCTGGGATATGGGGCTCCTCATGAATCCAGGCCTGCAGAAGACTAAAGGCAGAATCTGACAGATGGGCTCCTTCGTGGCGGCCATGTCGGGGACAGCCTACATTCCCAGGGTCTGTTGGAGCAAAGGATATGTTTTCCGTGGTCCAGACATGGCCCCCGAGGGAAAGAGAAGCCTGGGGCCACTTCGAGGGACTCTGCCCCTGGCTGTTGGCAGCCCAAGAACGAGCGCAGACGGGGCTGACTGCCACAGCAGACGGTCACTGGTGTAGGGGAGACTGCAGCGAGTGACGGCAGCGGCGCAGAGAACCCACAAACTCACCCAGAGAGTCAGCTTGCCCCGATCGCAGCCACAGATGGACGCCAGGTCAGACCCCTGTCGTACCTCTCCTCCCCACTCACCCGCCACGGTTCCCACCCAGGACACAGCAGACGTCGTGGGACTAGCTGGGGGGCGGAGGAGGAGGAGAAGCCCCTCCTTCCTACCATGACATTCCAGATTCCACACCCGGGCCAGGCTGAGCTGGGAGAGGTGAGAAACTTTAGCTTTAGCTGAAGTCTGGATTTTTGACTACTACACAAAGACTACACTTTTCTTTCCTAATTTAGGGGGAGGGTGTACATTTTTGTAGCATTTAAAACGTATTAAAAAGTTCCAATAATAATACAAAGAACTCCAATCATTTACATTTTGTCCCATTTGCTGCATCATGCTCATGCTTTCATGTGCCCTCCCCCTCCACCCTTTGTCTCCTCTATGTATGTGTATGAATAATATATAAATAATATAGATGCAACATTTTTCTGAACCGTTGAGAGGAAAATGTTTTCATACCCCCTTCATCCCTAAATATTTCTGCATGTATCACTCAAGGAAAAGGACATTCTCAGGGCGCCTGGGTGGCTCAGTTAGTTGGGTGTCTGACTTTGGCTCAGGTCATGATCTCCAGGTCCTAGGATCGAGCTCCACGTCGGGTTCCCAGCTCAGCGGGGAGCCTGCTTCTCCCTTTCCCTCTGCTGCTCCCCCTGAATGTGCCCTCTCTGTCTGTCTCTCTCTCTCTCAAATGAATAAAAAATCAATAAGAAAGAAAAGAAAAAGAAAAAAGACATTCTTTCTCTCCTGGGGTAGGCAGAACTCTAACATGAGCTCCCATGACCCCGGCCCCTCCTCATCCCTGCTCCTTGCAGTCTGGGTAGAACCTGTGACCTGACACCACACCCATGATTATGTGACGTTACGTGGCTATCTGGGTGACTTCACCCGACCACATCAGCCCTTTAAAAGCAGAGCCAGTCGGATCTCCAAAGCGCCAGCAGGATTCGACGCACGGCTGCTGGCCGGAGAATGGAGAAGGCCGTGTGGAGGGGATGTGAGAG